CGCTACCAAATCTTGTCTTCCTTTCAACAGATTCACAATCCACTGTTTCTCTCTCAACTTTAGACTTGCAAGGGTAACTCCAACCAAACCCTTAAATTTTGGCCCTCTTCTTCAAATGAGAGTCCCTCGTCCATATTGCATCCTTTACTTCTCAATGCACTATAACCGATCTTCTAAATTTTATCTACTTTACACTGTATTGTCATGGACCCTATACGTAGTGGTCCTACTTGTCAGCTTTATGAGAAAAGAGAAAGGAGGAATAGGGGAAACGATGAAAGAGAAATAAAAGTCTCTCGTCCATCAGGCCTTCAATAGAGGTCCGGATGGAGAGGTTTTTTTATGAGTTTATAAGCTCCTAAAATAGGATGAGGGCGAGTAGGAGCTTGGTTAGAGTTGTCCTGGAAGCGTATTTCAAATCGTATCCATACTTCACAACCATATTTTAATACAACACCGATTTCATAGCCAGTGGAACCCCAGGTGTGACCACGAGACACGAATGTGGCACATTTTAGAGATTTTTTTTTCGCCTTGTTTAGTTACACCCTAAATTCCAAAAAGTTGCTACAGTACCTGTCATATCGAATGTTTGCGGCCCATGCATGGAGTATTAAATGTAGACGAAAAGAAAAACTAATTGCACAGTTTGGTGGGAAATTACGAGACGAATGTTTTGAGTCTAATTAGTCCATGTTTGAACACTATTTATCAAATAAAAACGAAGGTACTATAGTAGCCCTAAAATCCAAATTTCACGAACTAAACAAGGGCTTTGTGGCTTTAGAGATTTGACAGTTGACACCGGTCTAAAGTACCTTTGAGCAGAGCTTTATTGAGGTCGCCCGTGTCCTACCGCCCTTTTCTCTTAAATTTAAAGAGGGGAGGAAGCAAATAATGCATTGGGCATCTGACGAAGAATAAATGAATTGTCAGACTGTTCGCTTGCTCGTAAATGATCGTAAATTTTTAGCTGAGAACAGTGTTTTTCTCTCATACCAAACCAGCCAGCAGTAAATAATCCACGATACGATACGGCCTCCCGAACAGGCTGGCATGCGTCGCTAGTGCAAGGAAGCTGTCCGGGTAAAATGTTTGGTTTTGTCAAACTAGTCTTTCGGCTGTTCGCTTCTTCAGTTCGGGCTTATCAGTTATGATATAGTATTTTTCTTTCATAACAAATTAGGATCGGTCGGACTTATCAGCTTAAAAACCCACCAGCGAACGTGCTCAAATTCTGGTCTTTTTCCTTCTCATCAAGACGTAAATGTTGGCCTCGTACAGTCGTACTCGTGTCGATGGAGACCGCTTGGATGGCCCTGTGGATCATTCGGTAGAATGAGTGCAGAAGAACTCATGCACGGATAAGTAAGCCTGGCCATTCGGTTCTCAGTTCGGTTTTAATTTGGTTCCTCGGTTTTTGAATAAATTTGGTGGTTAGAAAATAGGAACCGATCGATTCTAAAAAAAATTATTGGAACCGACCATTTCGGTTTTCGGTTACTTCGGTTCAATTCTGGTTCTAACCGAACTTTTTGAGAAGACCTCAAGACAACAATAAATATACGTGTTATAAGACAAATTTATGCAACACTATATTAATTTTTAATAATAATAATAATTTATAAGAAAACAATAGCAATATAGTAACACAAATATATAGCAGGTCAAATATAAAACACCACATATAAACTAAACATAATCTTATAAAATACAAGTAAGTGAAGTATAATTCATGTAATTCGGTGCTTTCGGTTAATTCGGCTACCCGAGAGTAGGAATCGAATTTTTTTTGGTTATTCCGGTTCCTTAATATCAGGAACCGAATAAGAAACCAGATTTTTTGGTTCTGATTCTTTCGGTTTCGATTTGGTTTTTTGATTTGATTTTTTATTCTTTGTTAATTTTGCCTAGGGCTACGGATAAGTGCAGCAGGTCCAGCAGGATCAACAACAGACGCAACTCTGCCCAACTCCATGCGTTCTCTTGGGAAAAAGGGGAAAAAAAGGCTCGGCATCTTTGGCATGGCTTGTGCCCCTGCCATAGGTAGCGGGCGCCACGTGGTCGGGAAGCGAGCCGCTTTTGGCCGTGGCAACTAGTGGCGTCTCTTGGGGTCTGATTCGTTAGCTACCAAAATTTTTCATGTTAAGGATTTAGCAAGTTAAAAGTTAGATAAAATAATTGTCAAAGATTTAGTAGGTTAAATATGAGAAGTTAGCAAGTTTTGACAATCAACCAATCATGAGCTAAAATCATAGCTTGTCAAATCCATGACACGATAAATTTTGATAACCAATCAATCAGGCCCTCGGACCCGCCGCGCCCACCGCCCCCCACATTTTCCCACAGTCGCATCGCATCGGGGTCGGGGCTCAACTCGCCGGAGAGTCGGAGACGAGAGCGACTGGAGGAAGCTCGTCGGCAGTCGTCTTCGTTCTTCGTCTCAGCTCGCCGTTGGTTGCCGCGCGAAAGTTTTGCGGCCTTACGGGATTTGAGCAAATGAACAGAGAATCCCCAGTTGCTGTGCACATCCGTTCAAGACTGCACATGCTGCTGCGTTTCTTCTACCCGTCTATTTTGAAGCTGCTATTACGTCCACACGTTCGTAAGTACTACTCGGTGGTGGAGTGCCCGTCTACTGCCCTCCTCGTACAGTCCTAGTAGGAGGAGTACTATCTCCATCCTAAAAAATACCATTCTAATACAGTGTAACATTTTAGTACTTTAAGTTTGATTAATTATAGATAAAAAGTATCCATGTTTATGATACCAAATAAATACTATCAGATTAATTATAAAATATTTTTTCATAATAAATTAATTTAAAACTATAAATGTAAATATTGTTTATTAAAAACTTGATAAAATACGAACCTATTTTCGTGGTACGCATAGTTACGTTCTGAGGTAGTTCTAGTAAACAGAGAATTGACGCGACAGGCGAAAGGATAGCGCAACAACCTTCCTTTCCACTGGAGCTGTTGGAAAGCAGGCCAGGATCGCCTCCGGTGCGGCCATGCTGCCCGTGCGCGTGCGTGCCCACGCACGCACTGGCCACTGGCGCAGGCAGCCGCACCGCAGAGATACAGATAGGGCCCTCGGAGATCCCATAACCTCAACACCGGACGCCGTGAACCGTGGCTATCTTAACTAATCCTTCCTCTTTTTTAAAAAAAAATATAAATATCCTTTGTCAGGACTTAATTAACCTCGAATTTTATCGAATATATAAACAAGTTAATATAGATTATTTATAATAAACATTATTAGATTGAATATATAATAGATCTTTACAATAAATCTATTTCCAGACTGCTTGATTTGTCGAAAAGCAAAATTTATTTTTTTGGACGGAGGGCCAAGCCGTCACACCCAGAAGGAGAACATGCACCTCAAATCAAAAAAGAAAAAAAAAACTCCCATCGAAATAACTTATAACTAAGATGCACAACTTGTCCGGGCTGATGGAGTCACCCTCAACAGACTCTATCAGAAAACATACAATAAGCGCTGTTACATGTCGGGATCACCAAAGTCGCAGTCGCGGTCAACAACAATTCTTCTACTAGTACACAATACACAAGGGCTTGTTTAGATTTCAAGTTTTTTCACTTTCTCCATCACATCAAATCTTTAAACACATGTATAGAGTATTAAATATAGATAAAAAATAACTAATTACACAGTTTGATTATAAATTACGAGACGAATCTTTTAAGCATAATTAGGCCATGATTGGATAATAATTATCAAATACAAACGAAAAATGCTACAGTGCCGAATACTGATTTCTAACACCCATCTAAACAAGACCCAAGCACAAAGCGCTTTGTTTTGTTTCGCCCGTGGTACCGAAAACAATGCTATGCCGCCCACGAAAACGAAATGGTTCAAAAAGTCAGCACCTGGTTCACGACAAGTTTGAATCTCGAAACCCACTACGACCATTATTAGTTTTTAAATTCGTCCACACGTCTCAATTCGAATTGAGAATTCAATTGGTCTATTCATTCAAATTTCGTGCCGTGGCCGTTTGGAATGGAAAACTCTAGAAACGCGGCGAGGAAAGCCAAGACAAAATGCGGGCGGAGAAAGCGAGCGGGCACCCAAGGACAAGGAATGGGGGCGAGGGAACCCAAAATCAAACCAAACTCGTCCGGGATTTCAAAAGGAATCTGACAAAACCCCGTCGCGTTCCCATCCAAATTCACGCCGAATCCCCACGAAATTTAATAATAAAATCAAACAAACCGCCGCACGCGAGAGCGAGGCGACCTCGCCGTCTCCACCCTGTGCCGCACCGCACCACCGCCCGATTCACGCCGCCCCTCCCCCCTCCCCCCTCCGCTCCGCGTCCTCTTTTATAGACGGACGGTCGGTCGGCCTAGTCTACTGCTACGCCCGCCAAGGCACCCTCCTCGTTCAACTCAACCCCCCCCCCCCCCTGCGCGCGCGCAGGCGCCGCCGCCACCACGGGAGCAGGGAGGCTACAGCAGGCGGGGGGCCGAGAGCTTCTTCTCGCCGCGGTCGTCGGGGACCGACGCGCGGGCTCGTGTGCTTCCGCCGCGCCGACCGCGGCCTTCTGGTTCGATTGATTGATCACAGCACAGGTTTGTGTTTTTGCCACCCATCTTCTGTGGTTTGTTTTTTTTTCCCGTCGCCTCGCGCGGTCGTGGACTCGCAGCGTTGGAGTCGTTGGCTCTGGCTGATTGATCCACGGTTGATGGGTGCGCGGGTTTCGCGTTAGTTCTGCTGCACGAAGCTGCGATTTCAGTTCCTGTATTTTTGTTCCCTCCCTCTCTGAGAATTAAATGAGGGAACTCTCGCTATCGTGGTGTCCACTGTCGTACGCCGTTCAATCACCAGTTGTGTGCGTCAGTCGTGGTTCCATGTCTCTGGTAGTGTTGCTGCATATTTGTCATTGATGACTCTGATAGCGTCAGCGGGTGAAGTATGGTTCCTGAATTACTAGCAATTTACCGTGACTTTAACACTGCCCAATGATTGGGGTGCTGTAAGCCTGTAATGCAGATAGTGCCACTGAGCTACTAGTAGTAAATTAACAGTGATTGTGTTCAGCTACTTACTTGTGACATCTAACATGCAGTTAATCTTTGGCGTTTCAGATCAGCGACAGGCATGGAGCGGAATGGCGAGAACCACCTCACGGACCCGCTTCTGCCGCCGACATCCAGCGCCTCTCCTGCCGGGGCGTCTCCAAGGAAGGAGAGGAAGACGAGGAAGGTCATGTTCAGTGTCCGGGGCATCTCCTGCGCTTCCTGTGCTGTGTCGATAGAGACCGTCGTGGCCGGCTTGAAAGGGGTGGAGAGCATCCAGGTCTCCCCACTTCAGGGCCAGGCCGTGGTTCAGTACAGACCGGAGGATACTGATGTAAGATTATCTTGAGCCCATGGCCTTGCTATCTTTGCTCCCTTTTTTTTTTGAAATTTTAGCATAGCATGATTTTTTTTTCCAGTTGTGTGGCCCATTCTCGTGATGACAAGATGCTAAATCATAGGAAGCTCACAATAAATATCTGTATTTGTGTTCTCCGTGCCAGGAAGATTGTTAGAAATTGGGTTCACAAATGAATTGGCGACGTATATAGATAAAGAGTTTTTCATTTTTACCTGCCTATGTATTTGTGCTGTAGGAATTTCCTATCCATGTGTAGTTTATTAATACCATGAAGTAGTGACAGTATATTACACATTAGGTGTTATTTTCCATATTTTCTCAGTTATTAACTTGTGATTCTTATTTCCCCAGACAAGAACCATAAAAGAAGCTATTGAGGACCTCAACTTTGAGGTTGATGAACTTCAAGAACAAGAAATTGCTGTGTGCAGACTTCGGATAAAAGGAATGGCTTGTACAAGCTGTTCTGAATCTGTTGAACGGGCGCTTCAAATGGTACCTGGAGTTAAAAAAGCTGCAGTGGGTCTTGCTCTAGAGGAAGCTAAGGTCCACTACGATCCAAATGTCACTAGCCGTGATCTTATAATTGAAGCTGTTGAAGATGCTGGATTTGGGGCTGATCCCATTAGTTCTGGGGACGATGTGAACAAAGTGCATCTAAAGCTTGAGGGTGTGAATTCTCCAGAAGACACCAAACTCGTTCAGTCTGTACTGGAAGCTGCGGAAGGGGTCAACAGTGTTGAATGGGACACAGTTGAGCAGACAATAAAAGTTGCATATGATCCTGATATCACTGGTCCAAGATTACTTATTCAGTGCATTCAGAATGCTGCACAGCCCCCTAAATGCTTTAATGCTACATTGCACTCACCACCAAAGCAAAGAGAAGCAGAGCGAAATCATGAAATTAGGAATTACAGGAACCAATTTCTCTGGAGCTGCCTGTTTTCGGTTCCTGTGTTCCTGTTCTCCATGGCTCTTCCTATGTTTTCTCCTTTTGGGGATTGGTTGGAGTACAGAATCTGCAACAACATGACAATAGGCATGCTACTACGGTGGTTGCTATGTTCCCCAGTTCAGTTTATTGTTGGTTGGAGGTACACCCTGGAAGTCTCCAGCATCTATTACTGGTTTATCGATTCCTAGATTTCATTGCACCTTGTAATTTCCTATTATTTGTTTTACCTGCAGATTTTACGTTGGAGCCTATCATGCACTCAAACGAGGATACTCAAACATGGATGTGCTGGTTGCTTTGGGAACAAATGCTGCTTACTTGTATTCTGTGTATATTGTTCTGAAAGCACTTACATCAGACTCATTTGAAGGCCAGGACTTTTTTGAAACTAGTGCTATGCTGATATCTTTTATATTACTGGGAAAATATCTGGAGGTGATGGCAAAGGGAAAGACATCAGATGCGTTGTCGAAATTGACAGAGCTTGCACCAGAAACAGCTTGTCTTCTTACTTTTGACAAGGACGGAAATGCCATTTCAGAAACAGAGATCAGCACTCAGTTACTTCAGAGAAATGATGTCATCAAGATTGTGCCTGGCACCAAAGTTCCTGTTGATGGCGTTGTCATCAAAGGTCAAAGCCATGTCAATGAAAGTATGATAACTGGGGAAGCAAGGCCTATTTCAAAGAAACCAGGCGACAGGGTAAAATCCATTGCATTTTTTTGGGGTTTTGTGTATAATACTATACTACTTGTTCTGATGATTCAATTTGTTTTGTAACAGGTTATTGGGGGCACCGTAAATGATAACGGTTGCATTATTGTTAAGGCCACTCACGTTGGGTCCGAAACAGCTTTGTCGCAAATAGTTCAGTTGGTTGAAGCTGCTCAACTTGCAAGAGCTCCAGTGCAGAAGTTAGCAGACAAGATTTCACGGTTTTTTGTTCCAACTGTAAGTTGCCTGTTGCTTTCTCCTGCAAATTTCTTCCCTGTTATGCATGGACTGTTTTTTTCTAATTCAAAATTGGAACATGGTCAGATCATCCTCCTGCCCAGTGTTTTATAACTGGATCACCACAGTGAATTTATCATGTTGAAGTTCTGAACATGATAAATATGAGTAGGTGACGGATACTTGGTCAGAGTTCAGCTCGAAACTGTCTAGAAGTATAACACATTCATTTCATTTTGTAAACTGGTGGACTTTTTTCCTATTCAGTTAATGAGCTGGTTCATTCCTGCTCTTTATTTGACCAGTTCTCAGCAGTGAGTAATGGGTTAGTTATAGGAAGACATCTGCTCCAAACATGCAGATGTTCTGATGTATGCCTGCTGTGAGACTCTTTATATAAGTTCTTTTGTTCCTCATATTGTTCCTTCTCATTTCAAGGTGGTGGTGGCTGCATTTCTTACATGGCTTGGCTGGTTCATACCTGGGCAATTGCACCTCTTACCCCAACAATGGGTCCCAAAGGCCATGGATAGTTTTGAGCTTGCTCTGCAGTTTGGAATTTCTGTCCTAGTTGTCGCATGCCCATGCGCTTTGGGACTTGCTACACCAACTGCTGTTATGGTTGCCACTGGAAAAGGTGCTTCTCAAGGTGTTCTCATTAAGGGTGGAAATGCACTTGAGAAAGCTCATAAGGTAACGGACCAATTTCTTTTCCGAAGATTTTAGTGGCACAAGTGGAGTTGATTTGAAAAACAATGTGCTTGTGGGCCACAAGCACATTATTTTCCAAATGAACTCTGCTGTTCAAATTGGCATACTGAACTAATGTCTCTTTTTTTCATCTATCCTTTTGCAGATTAAGGCTATCATATTTGATAAAACTGGAACGCTGACGGTTGGTAAACCTTCAGTCGTTCAAACAAAGATCTTCTCAAAGATACCGCTTGTGGAACTCTGTGATCTGGCTGCTGGTGCTGAGGTTGGTTTCTTAACTTCAAGATATTTTCCTGCACAAATGCTATGCTGAACAGTGAAGTCTCCGATAACTTCTCTCTACTCTCTAATGCTTTTCTACCTTGGTCAGGCAAACAGCGAGCATCCTCTATCAAAAGCTATCGTTGAGCACACAAAGAAGCTCAAGGAGCAATATGGATCTCACAGTGATCATATGATGGAATCGAGGGACTTTGAGGTGCATCCAGGAGCAGGTGTCAGTGCCCAAGTTGAAGGCAGGCTGGTTTTGGTTGGAAACAAAAGGCTGATGCAGGAATTTGAAGTTCCATTGAGCCCTGAGGTGGAGGCGTACATGTCCGAAACGGAAGAGCATGCTAGGACCTGTGTACTTGTTGCTATCGATAAGATTATCTGCGGGGCTCTTGCTGTTTCGGATCCTCTGAAACCTGAGGCAGGCCAAGTCATTTCTTACCTTAAGTCAATGGGCATCTCCAGTATCATGGTGACAGGTGATAATTGGGCTACCGCAAAATCAATTGCAAAGGAAGTCGGGATCAGCCAGGTGTTTGCCGAGATCGATCCACTGGGAAAAGCTGAAAAGATCAAAGACTTGCAGGTACAATCTATTGTCCTTTTCTGTCATGATTAATTCCGATGTTGCACCACGGACTATTAGTAATCTTTCTTACATTTTTGTTTTAAATAGATGCAAGGGTTGACGGTGGCAATGGTTGGCGACGGGATAAACGACTCGCCAGCATTGGCGGCGGCAGACGTGGGCATGGCGATTAGTGCCGGCACAGACGTGGCCATCGAGGCCGCTGACATCGTTCTGATGAAGAGCAGCCTTGAGGACGTGATCACGGCCATCGATCTCTCGCGCAAGACCCTCTCCAGGATCCGGCTGAACTACGTGTGGGCCCTGGGCTACAACGTCCTGGGCATGCCGATCGCGGCCGGCGTCCTGTTCCCATTCACGGGCATCCGGCTGCCCCCCTGGCTCGCCGGGGCATGCATGGCTGCCTCGTCGGTGAGCGTCGTCTGCTCCTCCCTGCTCCTCCAGCTCTACAAGAAACCGCTGCACGTCGAAGACGCGCCCAGGCCCGGCGACGGCTCGGATTTGGTGTGAAAGTGTGAGGACTGATCCCTCGATCCCGATGTACTAACAAGAGCTTGCTGGCGTCACTGATGCTTACCGACCCAAACACTGGCATACCGGGTGACCAAAGAGGCATTGCTTATTGCAAACGCTTTGTTTGCAGCTGCGGCGGCTCACCAGATTGATTCGTGTACAGCAGGTAGCTGTGTTATTTTTTTCACGTTTTGGAACAGTTCGCCAATTGATTGTGCAATAATTTAAGACAAGGTTAAATGATGGGTAGTGTTTCATTGTTGGTGTGCATCCATGAGGCTATTCTTAATCCACGGTATCATCATACTTTAATAAGGCACGAATGGGACTTCATTGGCACGGACAATTCACATGCTGGAACAGACCAGACCAGAACCAGTAGAGCAGGCTGGTGATCGTTAAGCTGCCGCACGGTGTCTCGCTCGAATCGGAGAGAGTTCAACGGGCAACCAGCTGATGGGACCCCTAAAGAAAGCAGGGGACACCAGCGTCTCGCCGGCCGCGCCATGCACGCATGGCCATCGTTCCGAACATAGCACGCCACCCCCTCGCCGTCGCCGTATATATGTGCTCGAGCGCACCGCCGCTGTCACAGCACCGGCACGCAGCCTCCATCCCCTCCAACACGAGATATGGCGTTCATCAGCAATGTCGTGGCGATGAAGGCGGCGGCCGTGGCCGCGCTGCTGGTGATGGCCGCGGTGTCACCCGCCGCGCGCGCGCAGGGAGGCGCGCCGTCGGTGCCCGCGGGCCCGCTGGACATCGCGCAGCTGGGCGCCAAGGGCGACGGCAAGTCGGACAGCACCCCGATGCTCCTCAAGGCGTGGAAGAACGCGTGCGACGCGACGGGGGTGCAGAAGATCGTCATCCCGCCGGGCAACTACCTGACGGGCGGGATGGAGCTGTCGGGCCCCTGCAAGTCCTCCATCATCATCCGCCTCGACGGCAACCTGCTCGGCACAGGCGACCTCAACGCGTACAAGAAGAACTGGATCGAGATCGAGAACGTCGAGAACCTGTCCATCAACGGCCACGGCACCATCGACGGGCAGGGCGCCCTGGTGTGGAACAAGAACGACTGCCAGCATTCCTACAACTGCAAGATCCTCCCCAATGTATGTGTTCTCTCTCTCTCTCGTTCTCTCTCTCTCTCTCTCTCTCTCAAATGATACAGCTAGTACTGATTGATTGAAATGCCATGCATGCAAATGGACAGAGCTTGGTGCTGGACTTTGTGACGAACGCCCAGATCCGCGGCATCACGCTGGCGAACAGCAAGTTCTTCCACCTGAACATCTTCGCGAGCAAGAACGTGCTGATCGACAAGGTGACGGTGACGGCCCCCGGCAACAGCCCCAACACGGACGGCATCCACATCGGCGACTCCAGCAACGTGACCATCAGCGGCACCACCATCGGCGTCGGCGACGACTGCATCTCCATCGGCCCCGGCAGCAAGATGATCCGGATCGAGGGCGTCAAGTGCGGCCCCGGCCACGGCATCAGCGTCGGCAGCCTGGGGCGGTACAAGGACGAGAAGGACGTGGAGGACTTGAAGGTGAAAGGGTGCACGCTCGTCGGCACCACCAACGGCCTGCGCATCAAGTCGTACGAGGACTCCAAGTCGTCGCCCAAGGCCAGCAAGTTCCTGTACGAGGACGTGACCATGGACAACGTCTCCTACCCCATCATCATCGATCAGAAGTACTGCCCCAACAACATCTGCGTCAGGTCCGGCGCCTCCAAGGTGGCCGTCACCGACGTCGTCTTCAAGAACATCCACGGCACCTCCAACACGCCCGAGGCCATCACGCTCAACTGCGCCAACAACCTGCCCTGCCAGGGCGTGCAGCTCATCAACGTCGACATCAAGTACAACGGGTCCGGCAACAAGACCATGGCCGTCTGCAAGAACGCCATCGGCAAGTCCAGCGGCTTGGCAAAGGAGCTCGCCTGCATCTGAAAGAATTGACATGCATATATAATCGTCACTCTCGAGTCTCCACTATATATATAACCATATCCGCTGCTTTTGTTTTTTTGTTTTTGTTTTTTGGATCACAAAATTAACCAACCAATGCAATTATTATTAGGCGCCTGACAATCTACGAACTTGCTTATTCTACTAGTGTTTATATATCTGTAATTCCGTTCCATATATACATTCACGCTTGATGCTATGCTCTCTGTTTCACAATCCGCGTAACATTCTGAGTTTCTTATCAGAGGACATTGCAATGTAGTACAAGTTTAATAACACAACTCTTAGAGAGAGAGAATGTGTAAAATGATGAACCAGTTTTATTGCACAACAGAGTATCAGTCTCCTCATCTTCAATAGTGCAGGAAAACAACCCGTATTGTTCAGTTACATAGCAGCTTGCTAGATTGCGGAATGAACTCTTTGATATTTGAGATTGTTGAGACTCCGGAGAACTGATGCGAAGACGTTTTGGGCTCAGGGAAGTGCCGGCAGAACCTTCCCGGTGCAGGTTCCAAAACCAACGTTGTAGCCTTCACCCTGAAGAACCAGCAGATGGAATCAAGATACAGCCCGACAGCAGATGGAATCAAGATACAGCCCGACAGCACCATAGAGACCTAGATTTGAGTTGATGAGGAAAGACGAATTCACAATACCTTGCAGCATCCTGTCAAGATGACCTCATCTCCATCTTCTAGATACTTGCGGGTCGAATTCCCCACCGGTATCTCATTCTGCCCGTTCCATGTTAGCTCCAGCAGACATCCGAGAGAGTCCGGTTCCTGAAACGTCACATGTCAAAATAAGATTCATATGGATAGGCAACCCTCAGTTACATGTCGATGATAAAAGATGCAGTGTTTATTCCATACAGGTCCACTGAGTGTGCCAGTTGCAAATATATCCCCCGGACTCATGTTGCATCCATTGATAGTGTGGTGTGTTAGCTGCTGCGTCACCGTCCAATACCTGTGGAAATTGGTTGCAAGAATGTGCCAATGTTATGCGCTATGGCAAAAACATATGCAGTATGCCAGTATGGTTGATGGGTTGCATCCAACTAAAACACATGAGCATTTAAAGTGAAAAAACGAATAAGCAGTGTACTTACAGATGCTTGAAATTAGTTTTTGTGACAATTGATGCATCATTTTGGCCTTTGGGCTTAACCCAGACCTTTCAAAGGAAAAAAAAGCGTGCCCCACTTAGATCTCTTTTTGACATAAATAAAAATAGTGAAGAAGAAGCTGCAGAATAACAATGCCATACTTCAAGAGGAATGTCATAGTTTATGTGGTTCTTTTCAGCTAGGTACGGTAAAGGCTCAGGTTCCTGTAATGCAAAGAGAATTAGGTCTCCATGGACTGAGGTTCCATAAAATGCTGATTAGGAAAAATAATCAATTGGTCAGTGTTATCTTAGCAGTATTGGTTATTCCAACGACAAATCTTAAAGACACTATTTCCTCACCTGCTTAGGAGCATCACACATGAAAGGCTTCAAAGCATCCAGAGTAACAATCCATGGCGATATGGTGGTACCTAGAGAAATTGTACAAACACAGTAAATTTTAAGGACACAATTGAAATATTATGGAGCCAAAAAGGGAAAACGATGGAAGCGCATATGTTAAGCTTGCAGGACTGCTAACTTTTTATTTATAAAGCATAGCTTAATATTTGTTCAGAAAACATAAAGTTTCATTAAGTTCAAGTGTCTTACTGAAGCTTTTCCCAAGGAAAGGTCCAAGAGGTATAGTCTCCCAGGCCTGGATATCTCTGGCTGTCATATTACATGCAACTCAGTATAATCACATCATGCATGTTAACATTAATTAAACAGATTAAAATTGTAGAGAATAGAATACCACTCCAATCATTCATCAAAGTTAGGCCAAAAATATGTTCTTCAGCGTCATTAATATCAATAGGTTTGCCTAATTCATTCCCTGGACCAACAATGGCAGCCTGAAAGCACAAGCCAACAAGCATTATGATATAATATAGTGAAAAGAAAATCATCACTGAAACAAAGCACACATTACCTATACTAGTCCTATATTTGATAATCATATACCAATAATAACTGAAAATGTGCAAGGAAAAAAATAATAGCTGAAAGTGACTTAACAGCTTAATGAGAAAAAAATTTAACTGAAAGTGACTTGACAGCTTAATTAGGTAGATAGGGCAAGAGAGAGTTAGTACTAGGGTTAGTAAGAAGCTAACCATCTCAAGCTCAAAATCAAGCTTCTGAGAGGGGCCAAAATAAGGAGCAGAAGAGTTTCCTGTTGGATGTCCTTGCCCTCTATATAAAAAACAGAGAAATAATTAAACAAAAGAGCAACAGACGGAGCACAAAATAGAGGTTTCAAGCTTGAAACAACATTTAAGACTCTTTTTAGCTAGTATTTGGGGATGCACACCTGGGCCTAATGACATCGGTCCCAGACACAACTATAGATGATGCTCGCCCATTGTATGCTATTGGAAGATAAAACCTGAATTGACAAAATGTACATTGTACGTTAGTTACAATTGGGTCACATCAATGAAGTGATGAAAAAAAAGTAGAGTAAACAGTAACATGCAGCAAAGCATCTAGAAATTTAATCATAACCATGAAGGTTGAACATAGTAACATAACAACCAGTGCTATGGATGTTCATACTTTTTTTAGTCTTATTATCAGTAAAAAGAGCAACTGCATGATCCCTAGCAACTTAGCAAGAATATTCACAGGACAGGATCTGATATCAACTGATTAGCATACTGCTTTTGTTTCCCCAGATGCCAAAAAAACACATTATCAGAGAAAACACATTACCAATTTGGCATGAGTGGAGTCTGCGGCCCCCGGAAGATGAATCCGCAGTTCCTTGCATGGTGCACAGAACAAAAGAAGTCTGTGTAACCTCCAACCGTGATTGGTAGAACCATCTCTATATCACTCTGCATTACCAAAGCAGAGCATTGGCGATGATTTGGTCACTGGTCCTTTTGTTACCATTAGAAGAGACGAGAAGGCTGAGTCATGAAGCTCACCATTGGTACCAGACACTTGTTCCTCAGCGCCTCGTTGTCACGCAAGACTGGCTCATCGGCTGCAAAGCGACAAGGAAAGAAGAGTGAGGACTGCCGCCCCGCAACTGTATATATTGCCATCGACATCGATAGCTGGTATGAACAAACAACCACACTTTTTTTTTTTTCCTGACACTTTGCAAATTGCATACTAATTGTGTGGTCAGTAAATAAAAAGGCTAAAAGGCGAAGCGGGTAGTAAATAAAAGGGGCAGAAGACAACGAACCTGAGAGGATTTTCTGCAGCGTGGCGCGCGCCTCCCTCCACGCCGGCCGGCCCATGCCCAAGAACATGTTGAGCGTCTCCTGCGTGCACAGCACCAAGGACACCAATTATTTTCTACTCTAGTCCAGTACCAGACCAGTTACCTCAAATCCTCAATTAACTATTTCCACCCTGGCACCACCAACCCACACGGCGACTCGGCGTAGCTAAAATCAAGCTCACACCATCCATCCGTCCGTCCGTCACTGGAGCAATCGAATCGAATCAAAGGGCTAAGGGATCAGAGCAGGCATGCACCTGGTGGAAGCACGGGGAGCCGGAGAGCACGGGCCCGTCGAAGAGCCCCGCGTCGGCGACGGCGGCGAGGTCGAGCGCGAAGTCCCCGATGGCCACCGCGGGGCGCGGCGCCTGCGGCTGCGACCCCCGGCGGCGGAAGACCCCGAAGGGCAGGTTCTGGATGGGGAAGTGCGAGCCCGCCGGCACCTCCACGAACGACCGCAGCAGCTGCTGCTGGCTCGGCTCCGCCATTGCTCCTCCGCTCTCTCGTGGAGTCGTGGGTGCTGCTGCCTACCACAGCCACAGGCCACAACAACCCGCCCGTGAAGACTTGCAGAGGCAGCAGAGACCCCCGGCCGGCCGTATGTATAAATAGACAAGGGTGGTGGATGTCTCGGGGCACTGCTGGTTTGGTTTTGGAAATCCATGCAGTACGGTTCTAGCTAGCTAGTTTTATCCGAGTCAAATATCTAATTGTAAATATGCAGAAATTATTATATATAATATATTTAGATTTATTTACTTATAAAGTAGAGTAGTAGCTTAAAAGGTACAATGATGTGGATAGATTGAAGTTCAGAAATACTCCATTCGTACTTAAAAAAAAAATAAAGTCGTTTTTGGACAGCGACACGATCTCCAAAGTATAACTTTGACTTCTTATTTTTATAAAAAATATTTATCAAAAAGTGATATATGTATATTTTTATGAAAGTATTTTTCAAGACAAATCTATTTGTATGGTTTTTACATTTCTAAACTCAACAACTTAAAAGTTATTCATAATTTATATTCTCAATATTTAATACAAACCTTATCAAAACAACTTCATTTTTTATAGTACGGATGGAGTATTGCACATGGGGAGTCCAGGATCTCAACAAGTTACCTATTCTCACATACGCGTGTACCAAACAGGTCATATAGGATTTTCGTTCGACTTTAATGCCTCTTGGAATAGGAGAGAAGAGGTAATTACTTGTAGTAGTAGTATTTACTAGTCCCTTTATCCCAAAATAAATTAATTCGTAGAATTCGGGTTAATTTTTTTAAGTTTGACTAAATTTATAGAACAGAAATAACATCTATGATATAAAATGAGCATATTACGAAAATATATTTTATGGTATATTAATTATACTAATATGATATCATAAATCTTAATATTTTTTCCATAAATTTAGTTCAAAGCATAAAAATTTTGACTTAAGACAACTGAGAAATCTATTTATTTAGAAACAGATGGAGTAGCTTCCTAGTAGCTATTGTTTATCTTTGGACGGATAAGTTTACGATGCGGTTAGCGCTTCAGCCGGTCACAGAGAAAACCGTCTAGAAGCCGTAATAGAAGCCATAGGCGGCGCTCAGCTTCCAGCTGGCCCGCTGCTTACGCCACGCAAGCAGTTGTAGCAGTATTATCGTTGGGCATCTACTATTGCTTTCGCCGGTAGCGAGCCCTCTGTCGACAAGCAAAGCAGTCCACCCCAGACAATACTCCATTTTTTCAGAGAACGAATGATGGGTGCCACAGGTAACTCAAGTTCATAAATAAAATTTAAAAAAGGTACAGTACTTTAGTTTTTTTTCCCAAAAGAAAAACAGAGTCGTCCACTCGTTTTGCATTGGCAGAAAGTAATTTTAAAAAAAAAATAATAATTCCAGAAGCCATCTTTCTTGGTCTAAAAGCTGAATCAAAACTGGAGAGCAAGGAGTTTGTGCCTTTGTGGTGGCTACCACACTCTAGAAGACCGATGGGGCCATGCATACACGAACACGAACACGAACACGAACACAAGTACCCAAATATAGTTTTCACTTTGAACTGCTTTCTCCAATGCAGTGCAACTGTGCAAGTGGTGTTCAGTTTAACTGACACTTGAAACAAAAACCTGAGAAGAACCGTTTAACCGAGTTTAGTTGCCTCAGGTGTGTAGCAGTTAAACGGTTTGCACGGCAGCCGAAGCAAACGCATGAGCAAGCGAAGGAACAGAATGTGGCGCGTCAAAGCCCTGAAGCCTCCTCAACTTCAGCCAAACGCGGGTGGTGCCTTCCGATGTTTATTCCGGAACATATCTGAATATTCCAGTACGCCTCTTCACTTCCAGCGAGAAGCCGAGGAACAGATGGTAGAGTGCTGTTAAAACTAGGGCGGGCACGAGAACAGCAGCGACGTGTTAGTTCCACCAAACCCGAAAGAGTTGGAGATGGCCGCTCGTATCGGCGCCTTCTTGGGCGCAGATAGTGGCGTGAACGCCCCTTCGAACAGCGGGTCCGGCTGCTCCAGGTTAAGCGTAGGCGGCGCGACTCCCTGAAAGCAGCAGATGTTGATGTGAGTTGAGCACAGGAGTGTTTTCTCTTTTGGTACAAATTGAGCTGCTGCTCATAACCAAGAGATGGTAGACGACATACGTGGTGGATTGCTAGCACAGTGAAGATTGCTTCTACCGATCCAGCTGCCCCTAGCAGATGGCCAATTGCTCCCTAGACAAAAGTTGTGCGTTGGAATGGACTGGGGGGGGATGAAACAAAAGGGGGAACAGAAGTAAGTTTTGATAGCACTGTGGCGCCGGAGACTACCTTTGTTGAGGATAATGCGAGACAACCGGATGCTGCGTGGTTGCTAAAGACGGATTTGATCGCGTTCACCTCCACAGCATCACCTAATTGTGGGTCAAATCCAAATTAAGTGTCAATTCGTTTATCATTACTCCATTTAGCTGAGGTTGGAAACGGAAGTTATCTAAATGGACAGAACAAACAGAAGTTATGTGAATTAGCCTATTTGTGCTTCAAACAAAAAATAGTTCCATATAGTTTGCGATCAGAAACAGAAGTTATCAGAGGAATAGAACAGAACACAAGTTATAGCTAAGTTGATACTAATCTGAATGTCTTTTGGCATGTGACTGTGAGCCTTACCAAGAGGAGTTGACGTCGCATGCGCATTCACATAATCAATTTGATTTGCATGAAGACCTGACTGGAAAGAGGATCAGAACACAAATCAAAGAAACAGTCATACTGTTCCTAACTTCTTTTACACTAAAAGAACAGTAAAAATATGCAGCACAAAACAACAAAGGTGCATATGATTTTGCACCTGGTCCAAAGCCCGCTTCATGGCTAAGATAGCACCTCTACCACCATTTTGTGGCTGAGTTATGTGATGCGCGTCACCTGGAAGAAACTGAGCTTCATAATCTGACATATACTAATAACAGAAACAATCTTCATGTGAGACAGAAACAATCTTCATTGAGGAATAACAGGGTACCAGACATTCCGTAGCCTCGAACTTCAGCATAAATTTTTGCACCCCGTTCCTTTGCATGATCAAGTGCCTGTGGAATAAGTAAGAAACTTTCAATACATGTAAAATGAGAAGAGCATGGAAATGTCAAGAAACGACAGGCATTACTCTCCAATACTGTCTTGTGTGTTACTGGAAGTAATGATTGGTTTTAAACAACATCCAAACCACTGTCTTGTGTGTTACTGGAAGTAATGATTGGTTTTAAACAACATCCAAACCACTCACCTCCAAAACCATGACCCCACAGCCCTCACCAATCCTATTGATCAGTTTAGAACAAAAGGTAAGAGCATGGTGAAAAGAATAAGCTGAAAAAGGGGGCAGACCTAGTGCCAGAGGCTCCCACATGAGTGGGGTCTGGGGAAGGGAAAAACCGAGGCAAGCCTTCCCCCCAAAATCTGCGGAGAGGCTGCTTCGAACCCGCGACCTGGTGACTCAGTGAGACAGCTCTCACCACTGCACCAGGCCTGCCCTTCGTGAAAAGAATAAGCTGAACATTAATTAAAACAGACACACAATCTAATAGTGGCATGACATACACAAATCCATCTCTACCGCAGTCAAAAGGTCTTGAAGCTGAAAGTGGAGAGGAATTATATTTTGTAGACAATGCCCTTAGCCTGCAAAACAGAAAACATGGAAAATGGAATAAGGTATTGGCTGGTGACACTAATAAGGGGGAAAACTACATATCGATCAGCAACAGTGGGCAAAAGCCAAACCATGCAGATAAATTTTGCAATTTTGCATATATATTTTACGAGAGGCTGTTAGTGGATGCAAAAGTGGCTTTTCTATTGCTTACTACACCCTCACACTCAGCAGTGTCTCCTAATAGCCTTAGTAAAGCATTCAGGCCATTTTCCAATTACCAAAAGGAAAGCACATACAGTACTATTTTGGAAGACAGACAAAACAAAACATTTGAGAACATACTTGCCTAGAAAATCCAGCTATAGACAAAGCATCGATACTGCACTCAGTTCCACCAGCCACCATCACATCGGCATCTCCAAATTGGATCATCCTAGTAGCATCGCCAATAGAGTGAGCACCAGTGGCGCAAGCTGTCACAGCAGCATGGTTTGGACCCTAAGTTAGAAGCATAACTACTACTATTAACATCCATTTTATGAAAAACCTTAGTTATTCCAAATGGCAACAAGGAAGTTCACCTGGAAACCATATCTCATGCTGATATGACCTGATGCCATGTTGATCAAAATCTTGGGGATGAAGTATGGGCTGAGGCGACGTAAACGCTGATCAAAGAAAAAACAAACTTTAAATTTCAGCTTTGGAAGTAACTAGAATATAATCATTTATATTGCAAGGCATGTGTGTCATCGAAAGCCAAACAAAGCATGGCAATGAGATAATATACGTATGGGATTGCTTATGGCCATCTTGTCTAAACAAGACATCTAACATTGCATTTCCTCGATACATTCTCAACATATAAGAGAATAGATGCAGAAAGTTCAGATCGTAGAAACACATATCAATTAAGAGGAATTATGTGCAACCATCATTTGAAATTGAACTACCACAGTAATTACTGACTACAGTGAATGCTGCTAACAGCAAAATTGGAATGCAGGATCAAGGATACAAACATTTTCGATGATCATTTGCGACGCATCTAAAATATCTGAGATGCTTCCGATCCCTCCACCAATAGAGACTCCCTGATACAGCACTAATCAGACCCGGAACTTAAAACCACATATATGAAAAATGAAAATGAGCTTCCACAGAAGACAAATGGTACCGTTCTTTCCTTCTTCTCATCTTCGGAAGGCAACCAATTTGCATCTCTTAAAGCCTCATCAGCTGCACACAGAGCATAGGATATAAATCCTGATATAGATTTATCCTGGAAACAAGAAAGTTCAATAAAGATTTAAGAACATGAAAAAGAAAGTTTGACCACATAAGCACAAAATTTACACACTTATAGCCATGCAATAACATTCCAAAAGCGCACAATGGACTTCCTATTGGATTATAGAGAAGCCACATTGGAACAAAGCCAACAGAGAAGACACATCTTTGCTATACAAATCTGTTTATTAAAGCAAGCATGCATCTAATCCAAGGAAGGTTCAATACACACCGACTTTGTAAGCACTGGCATCAGTGACGATGGTGGAAAGTAACAAATATTCCCTCCATTCCAAATTACAAGTCGCTTTGATTTTTTTGGTACATCAATTTTGCTATGTATCTAGACACAAAATCTATGTGCCAAAAAAAAATTCAAAGCGACTTATAATTTGGAATGGAGGGAGTAACTAACAATAGCACCTTTTGGATTGATTATTTGCAACAGTGTATAATGAGTGAGGACTGTAGTATAGCACTGTGAGATGTAAACTGTGACATTTATCTTCTGTTAATGATCGAGACTATTACACCTGTCCACTGGCATGGAATTTAGCAGTAATATGGGTTTAGTGCCATAATATGTCCATGTTCTGGAAAATTGTATTGTGGATTTTTGGTGTAGAATTAGAGCTAAAAATTCGAACTCCTAATGCGAAGTAAGCACACAAATGGCACAATGCTCTCTTCCTCACACGCGGACACCGTGAGCAACAATTGAAGTAAAGCATTAGACCTTGGTCCACGAGTCCTCGTCGAACTCGTCCTCGCCCTTCCCGCGCGGCACGGCGGCGACGACCCTGGACGGGAGCTGCTCGAGCGTCCTCCCCGCCGCTTCCTCCGAAAGGCGGAGGTCCTCTGCTGCGAGCGAGCGCACGGCGCATCGCCCCGCGACGAGGCGGTCCCAGGTGGCGCCCACGCCGCGCGCCAGCGGCGTGACGGCGCCCAGCCCCGTCACGACCACGCGGCGGCCCGCGGAGGGGCGCGGCGGCGGGAGCGCCTCCGCCTCCACCGCCGAGGAGGAAGAGAGGCCCCGGAGGAGGCGGGGAGCGCGGCGGAGGCGGCTCATCAGGCGACGGGGAGCGGCTCGAGGACGGCGGCGTGGCTGTGGGAGACGGGCGGAGGCGGGGAGCGGCAGCCGACGAGTAAGGGCCTGCGATCTGCGAAGCAACCGCTTTCTAGTTGGGCCGAGGGAAAAAGGGTGACGGGCCATTCCTGTGATGCAACGGGCCTTTTCATTTTTGTGTCCAGCTTTATCCGTCTGCTTTACGAACCACGCAATCACGACAAGGTTGACGCGCATGAGACTTCTATAATATATAATAATAATATAATGCAATTATTCTCGTTGTATTTACAAATGGTATATTCTTGAGATGTTCCAAGATGTATCTAGATTTTGTTTTCCAAATTATTCAAGTTCCATATGTGTTGTATTTTCCAGTGTTTCTATATATCGTACCCATGAGATGTTACACGATGTATTTTTTATTGTTCACACACAACATATGAGATGTTCTATAGTGTATTTTTAATCGTTTGTAAATATCAAAAGATCCTCGATGGTACAATTTAATTGTCCCAATTATGCAAGATTTTTTTAAATTTTCTAATACTGGGCACAAATATTATGCAATGAACCTATAATTTTATTTATTCTCCTAAAATCTGAAATATTATTATCCTAAATCTAAAATATATTTTTCTTGTGAACGTTGTTTCCTAAATCTAGAGCATTGCTATGCTTAAAAAAAAAGAAAAATATTCTATCTTTACAAGAAAAACGTTCTTCATAAAAAAAATCTAAACATATTCGTATGGGGTTTTATTTATTTTGAAAGATTACTGTAAGAAACATAATGATACAATTGAAATTTAGTTTGAATCATTAGTTTGGCAACTACGACTTTAAAATTTCCAAAAGTACTCGTCAAACGCTGGATCTGTACAGGCGTGGAAACACAACAGTCGAGCGGAGAAAGGGTGCGGAGCTAAAAAAAAACACGCGGCCCAACATTGTGATCTTTCGGCGGGGACTGGTTGACGCGGACACAGGCGGGACGGGACGCGCACGGCGCACACGCCGCCGCGCTGGCCGGCCGGCGGTCGGCTGCGGCGGGACAAGAGCAAGTTGTTGAGACCTGTAGCGCGGCGGCGGCACGCCACTTCTGCCGTTCTGCGGGCTGCGGCTTGCCGCACATACGTATGGATGCTCAGCAATCTATTATTGCGCGCTGGCCTGTTTGGTACCGCTTAATCCAACTGCGCGGTGTGGTGCCCGAGCTGCGAGATCTGTGATATGTAAAATTGCTTCGTGCAGTACAAAATCAGCTGTGGCTAGTCTTGTGCGGTGGTAAACGTCAAGCGCACCGCATACTGTTTGGTGGGATTGTTCGCTTCTGACGATCAACACCGTGAAAAACGTGGTTCAAACCGGGCCTGACAATAACTGAAAAGAACGGCCGATGCTGATGCTGATTTGTTGTGAGAGAAAAATACTGTTATTTCGTTGAAACGGTACGGACCGATAAGTTTAAGCGAACGGGACCACTCTCTCCTAGATCTTAGAGTACGAGAGCAGAATAGCAGATGCAGGGTTAAGTATATACGGAGTACAACATATTGCCAGGACAGATCCATGTCATAAATTTTAGCTCATAAAATTTTGCTCCAGCGTATTGTCATACAGCCGGTGCAAACTCCAAGGTGCTCATGCTATTCTATCTTTTTTTCTCTCTCTCTCGTGCTAAGGAATTTCTAGCTAGCAAGTAGCAACACCCCATTCCAGTGTATTGCACCCCTTCTACCATTTCACGTCTTGGCACCTCAATCACAACGCTACACCTGCTTTATGTCGTTTATATAGTACTTCCTCTGTTAAAAAAAAACTTGATGTTTTAGTATCTTTAAAAGCCTTTAAATCTTTAAAAGCCTTTAAATGTGTGACCATCGAACTATTCATCCCAGCGCCTCCCCCACTCAAATCCCTGTAGACCAATAGGCGCAGAAATTTAACCGTCCGATGTGCAGCAGTGTCTCCTGATCCACTCCACCTGCCCCCTTTGCTTCTACCGCCTTATTATTATATTTGAACAGTACCTTCCGATTCCTTAGACTCAGTTCACTGCTCATCCACAGTGAACCACCACCAGCCATTCGATCCTGCCTCCTTGCGCTGGATGGCCGCCACGCGCCTCCTGCTTGCTCCCCAGCCCGCCATCGACGCCAGGCCAAAAAAAAAAGAAAGAAAAAAATCCCCATGCAACCTCCATTGCCTCGCCGACTCCGCCTCGCGTGCCTGCATAGCCGCCGCGATGGGAGCAGCCACCTCCACCGGCTGTGCCACGGCGGCGCAACGCGGCACCGCACCAGCGCCGACGCGACGTCGCTCCGCAGCGGCGCAGCCGCGAGTTCGCCCCGCACCAGCGAGCCTGGGGCGGCCCCAGCACACAGCAGCGCCGGATCTCGCCCACGCATCAGCTGACGAAGAGGCGGCAGGCCAGCGAGGCAGTGCCGGCCGAGAAGATGGTGGCGCTGGATCTCGCCCGTTCACCTGCTGAGGATGAGGCGGCGGGCCAAGGAGATGGTGCGGGCCGACGGCCAAGGAGGCGACGGTGAGGGAGTGCTTTTCGACTCTCCGAGCCTCTGGTGTGAGTGTTTTGAACGTGTTTGTGCCTTTCAGGTATTTGATGAAGTGGTGGAGCCGTGCTCTGTGCCTTCGTGCAGCGATCTCGCGGCGGCGGCGCACGACTAACACCATGGTGAGTTCATTTCTGTTCTGCTTACAATTGAAAAGCTCTGGTTGTGCCAGTCTGCATAGCTGCTTACATCGGTGTGATTACAGTGCCAAGTAATAGATTCTACTAACTGAAACTACAGATCATTGACACTTGCTCAAAATACAGATCGAAAAAGTTATGTATTTACATCTGCTGCGTTCTATAGATTGAAAATGCAGATCTGCTTTGCCAAACTTCATTCAGTCAAAATATGTAGATTATTTTTGAATTACGAACTAAATAGCTGCATCGCCACATTAGTTATTCCCAAGTTTGATGGATGAGTCTTCTATCTGTTTTGCAATGCTATTGCTTCGACGGACACTTAGCGGGCGGCTACTGCTGTCAGTGGAGCGGCTCTTTCGGCACATCGCTTGCCACCGCGCCAGGCAGGTTCAGTGTGTTTGCTCTCCCTTCACACATTGGTTATTCAGATAGTATAGGTGCTAATGAAGTGATTTGTGTGTGTTCATTTTTCTCAGACAGATACTGCGACTTGCCGAGGCAATTGACGTGCAAAACCTGAAAATTATTTTATCTACTGACAGCCTATTTCGATTGATGTCCATGTGCACCTGCTGCGCAAACGAGCAGTTTATTTTTATCGAGCCTCATGTGGACATGTGCGTGTTTTTCATGTCGTGTTTTGCAAGTTCCGCCATGCAATCCATCAGGTTCCACCGCTGATTTCAAGCTATTGCCGTGTTACATTGTTTGTGGCTTACACTCTTTTCCTTAGGAATGAATATACAGAAATGCAACAAAACACTGGGTGACACTGCTTAGTGCTGCTAGAAATTTAATATTGTTCATGTTTGTGTATTCAGTATCTCGATGTTTGCAACAATAGATGCACGTTATTTGTGTTGCTTGGTTACGATGCCATCATAAAATTCCTAGCTTCATAGAACAAAGGCGATGTTAGTGTTCCACTTCTCTAATACGTCTAATACGTATATGTATGAGTTCGATTGGTGACGGCAAAACTGTTCCATGTATATGCATCGCCAGGAAATGGACTTCAGTCTGTCTCATCTGTTGATTTCATTTGGCCTGCCATTATAGTTGCTAATAACAGGCATGCTATAACTAACACCATATTAAATATTACAGTCCACATGATATGACAAAACAAATATTATGATATTCATACGAGTATATTCCTAACCTTTTCTCTTCATGTATGATGTATGCCTAAATGTTAGTCAATTTCAATACAGTGTTTCAGTAGCCTTGGCAGAGGCAGAGAATGTTAGGACGTTCTGTGAATAGTCAAAACATTTCCTTATGCATTTCCAGTAGGTTCCTTCTTTTTCTCTACTTATGTACTAGTGATTTGTGCGCGCCCATGCGCGCGAGAAATGGCCGAAAATCTATCTGGGAAATGGCACAATGCTGACAAATAACAAATATTATAGGCGTCTAACTAAAATTGAGTCACCTAACCGACAGCTGTAATTATCAACGATGACGAGATACTGTTTTCTTAGAAACAAACGATGAAGAACACAACAGCGAGCATATATTATACGAAATCTGGAGTTTGCCGTGGTAGCTGTCTTACATAATCCTTGCAAGCTTTTTAACATTTCTAAATTGCTTCAGACCGGTAGGCACTCTCTTAATATGCTACAGGTAAACAAACTTTCTCTTATCATTGCCTTCTCTAATTCGCATTATCCAAACCAGGAGAAGCGAAGAGTATTACAGCTCTAGTGCAATAATGCATAGATAAGTTTGCAAAAGATGGAAAATATGACATGCCAATTCGCAAGAGAATAGGTATCGTTGGTACAGCGTACAAGATTGTACCTCCCCACATTGCTGGGTCTAAGAGGAAAGCCTTCAAAGAACATTTCGGACACAAGAGTGCAGCCATATCATTGTATCTGCAACCAAATCAGTCCAAGATTCACAAAGACAGTCACTTGCGTGTTTCCAATGAAATGATCCCGAGAATGACAACCGATAGAGTAGGGCTGTGCCATACAAACCGGTTTAAAACTGAATCATGTATCTATTTTGTCTTTTAGGTGTAATTTCATAGAGGTCAGTGTGGATGCTTAATTCACTTGTTGGACATCTGAGAGCTCCTTCAGTGTCAGAAGTGAGCCCAATTTTTTGAACCCATGAAGGCATAATATTTTAGACCTGAAAATTCAAAGTGTTACAGTTGATAGGGAATAGACAGTAGAAACTAAAATGAGTAACCACACAAGGACCCAACTATCATTCAGATCTGATCATAGAAAAAAGGAAAAGGAACAGTCAATATAAGGTAATAACGGCTGCAGGAAATTTTTTCTTAGCATGACGAAACAAAAATGCACTTGTTGTCCTGAAAACATTTTGTACAAATCTCATGGCAAGGAATGCAAACGCTGCAATATGTCCCTAGCAAACAGTGCATAGGCGGTTCAGGTGTTGTGAAAAC